ACCCCAAGCAACGTGGGAAGCCACTAGCACGCAAGGGGTTACAGAGAATTGGAGTGAGACCAAATAGGAGTGATAGAGGAAAGAATGAAGAGAAGGTTAGGGGATAGATCAGGGCATCTGGGGACATCGATTGACATTACATTTGAATAGTAGGAGATTATAGCTATCAGGTATTATAGTTATCAGGAAAACAAGAAATAGGGAGGGAGTCCTACATGCGCGAAGTGCGAGACATGAAGCTATTGGGGGGTAGAAGAGACGGCTACATTTAACAGTTTCGACAGTGAAAGGGTGAGAGCGAGATGCCATCCTAGTTGAACGCTTAAATTCATGAAGTCTGGAAACCGGCGAAAGCAACTCATCGGAGAAACTATTTGTAAAAAAGTCAGAGGGAGGCGACGGCACATCTGTGAGAGAGCGATTGCAGACAAGATGCCAGATCAGGACAAATTACATTGCATATCCGTCTCTGGATCTTATCAAGAACCTTGAGACAAACAGAAGGGACACCAGACCATATATGGCAGCAATACTCCATGCAAGGGTGAATGGTTGATTTGTAGATTTGAAGGATCAGAAAAATTTCATGGCGTGGCACAGGGAGCCAACTTTCCTTGCGGTGGACGAAGCTATTGACTCAATGTATTCGTTCCATTTCAGGTCAGCAGACAATGTGAGACCGAGCAATCGCAAAGAGGTGCTCTCGTGGAGTTGAGCGTCAGACATTCTAATGTGGGGGGCAGGGATGAATTAATTATTGAGAACTTCACTGATTTTTTCTATATCTTCGAGATGAGGTATTATTGTTACTTGCATCATTTTAAAGAGAAGTCGCTTCCAGTTATTTTTTTTTAATTTTTTTGACGAGGGCGTATTTTTGTGAAATTATTTCTTTTGAAGAGGGCGTATTTTTGTGAAAATTATTTTTTTGACGAGGGCGTGTTTTTGTGAAATTATATTTTGACGAGGGCGTATTTTTGAGAAATTATTTTTTTTTTGACGAAGTCATATTTTTGAGAAATTATTTTTTTGATGAAAATATGATTCATCGCTACATACGAGTTCTCATGTTTCAAAACAGGTTCTAAAAACTTCAATTTAATTATGAAAATTAATTATTCTTGGAATAAAAAATATTGCTCTGTTTCATCTTCAAGCGATATTGTTGGAATTAAAAATTTCGCTTGAAGATGAAACACAGCTTGATACTTTAATTCAATTTAATTTTTATAATTAAATTGAAGTTTTTTACTCCTGTTTTTGAAACATGAGAACTCTTATGTAGCGATGGAATCATATTTTTAAAAAAAATAATATATATATATATATATATATATATATATATATATATATATATATATATATCTGTCCTACAGCTTCGGGAAGACGAAGGATGGCTTCAATTTACATAAGTATCAGAGTTCCTAAATCAAATTTTTGAATGCATGATCCTAGGGATCAAGTTATATGTGAGATAAAATACATCATCTGACTTCTTAGACCGAAGTTTGTACGCAAGGTTCGCAGTTTCCAGCAGACATTTTTATTTTTGCCGATAAAAAAAGAAAATGAAGTCTAATATTTTGATTAACAAACAGCCAGCATAACTTCTTACTGAAGATACGAACTACAGTTTATATGCTATTTTGTAAGGACGATAAATTGTGGAGGCAGTTGGTTAGACGTGACCCTCATGGGATTAATTGCCATTTGTTGTGTTCTCACAGGAAAACAGAAGCCGCCAATTGAAGACCACGGGCGACTCATTTTTCGAAACATACGAACAACGTATCCACCTCTCCTATTCTGTCGATGCTACATTCTTAGAAACGAGATAATGTGTGGTCCTTATCTTGCTTAAATTACCACGCCGATGCAATTAATCAAGACTGTCCGATGTCACGCGATAAGAGTGACGCATGAGTTTCCTGTTACGCTGACCTTGTCTATACAACAATTCATGAGGAAGGCAGTTGATAATTTCTTCGTTAAATGTTGATCTCGCGTGAAGATCACACAAATCCTGTGCATTGAATAAGTCAGTTTGGTTAGACTGGTGTTGGCTTAGAATAAAAACAAAATATTCTATGATGTAAAAAAAATGAATCATTTTTTTGACATGTACGCGTTTTCATGTTTTTATGTTTCATACTTGAATAAAATCATAGATACGAAAAATATGTATAAATGACTTCGAATTTTTATAAGATAAGACGTAATGCCTGATCCTAGAAGCTTATAATTAATAGTAAATCAAGCACTAAATTAAATAATTAAATTTCCCAAGTAAGCATCTACGACACTATTATTTACTCAAAAACAAATCTAGTGTCGCCGACAAAACTAACCTGGCCGTTAGTCTTGAAAAGGACCTCCAATCGGTTGTGGACTGGGGCAGGAATTGGCTGGTTAACTTTAATGCCTCAAAAACAAAACTGCTCTCTATTACTCACTAGACAGAACCATCCCTGCCTCCCATTAGAATATCTGAGGCTCAACTTCTCGAGAGCACCTCGTTGGGACTGCTAGGTTTTACATTGTCTACTGACCTGAGATGGAACGAATACATTGAGTTAATAGTTTCGTACACCGCTAGGAAAGTCGGCTCCCTGTGCCGGGCCAGGAATTTTTTCTAGCCGGAGTCAATCCATCAAATCTACAAATCAAACCATTCGGCCATGCAAGGTCCTCGATCAAATCCAAAGGCGGATATGCAATATAACTGGCCCTGATCTGGCATCTCCTCTGCAGCCGCTCTCTCACAGTCATACCGTTGTCCCCATCTGTCTTTTTTACAAATACTTTCACGGTAACTGCTCCGATGATCTCTTTTCGCTGGTTCCCAAACTTCATGAATTTAAGCGTTCAACTAGGCTGGCATGTCGCTCGCATTCTTTCACTGTCGAAACTGCTAAATATAGCCGTCTCTTCTGCTCCAATAGCTTCATGTCTCGCACTTATCGCATGTGGAACCCCCCATTTCTTGTTTTGCTGATAACTATAACCTCCAACTATTCAAATGCAATGTCAATCAACGTCTCCAGATACTCTGATCTATCCCCTATCCTTCTCTTCATTCTTTCCTCTATCAATCCTATTTGGTCTCACTCCAAATCTCTGTAACCCCCTTGCGTGCTAGTGGCTTCCCGCCTTGCTTGGGGTGTAATTTGCTTAAAAAAATCAAGCAAATACGATGTTTTAATTAAGGATGGAAAATGTAACACCGTATTTTTTACAATGATATTCACCCTGAGCAGGGCCCAAGAGTCTCTCGAGGTAGAGGATTACAGCTTAAGAGACCCCCCCCCACTCAAACTAGGTTATAAGGTCACCAAGACGCAAGGATCTATCGGAAGTGAACTAGAAGGAAAATTTTCGAAGGAAAATGGAAAACCAATACTAATCAGGAAACATGAGTTACTTGCCTTATTTACATTACCGCATTCACAACGTTTCGAATGTTGTACGCTACGGTCTTCTTCAGGTGATTGGAATAATGTAAATAATGCAAATAATTATAATAGCTAAACTCAGAGATATAAACAGATAAGGAAACAAGAGATATCACCAAAGTACTGTTTTCTGTTCACCCCATTGATAAAAATGTCATCAATATAAATTTCCTTGAGTCTACCTCTTTTTCTGCAGGTACTTGATAAAACAACGATGCCAAATTTTCTTTTAAAGAGAAATCGCTACGAGTTATGTTTACCGTTTTCTTTGAACAGTAATATTTCAGTTTAGATGTAAAGAAACAATGGATCTATTAATAAAAAGAATTGATAATTAATGCACATAAGATAAATTCACTACAAACAGAAAAATGGGTTTGTCGGATGCTTACAATCTTTTGATGCCATTTTGGATAAATTCATCTATCAACAATGACTTGTCTGCATTTGAGCAACTAGAAGGTATATGAACTGTTATCTAATGTTGCTAGAAAGTTCTAGAAGTTCTTGAAACGTTTATGAAACTTCTCGAAAGATCTTGAAAAGATTAGAAAATTTTCTTTCAGCAACTCAGTACTGCATCTGTCTGGAATGTATTGGGTAATAGGTTTCAAATCACCGATGCCCCCCAGGTCACAAAATTAATGTTTGAAGGGAATAAGTCATTTCCTTTGCTTTGTAGACAGAAACAATTGGGTAATACTATTTGCTGACTAAAGCAAAAAGTCAAAATTTTGTGACACAATATAATCAACCAGTCTTGATTGACTCTATCTGTCCTAATAACTATTCTCCGCTGGTGCAATGTCTTGATGAAATGGTTCACCCTACTCATCACTCAGAGAACCGGTTTTGACGAGAGATCCAGCTGCGTGTTAAGGAAGTATATCTTCAATGACACGTTACAGCCAAGATATTTGTATGCCATCAGGAGGTCTTTCATCAGTTTACTGTCATTGTTTGTTCTCTCCATACACAGAAAGTTCGTTGCCACTGACTTTTCATGTAGTTTCATCGTAGAACTCTGTTTTCTGTTCATCCCATTGATTAAAAGATTTCATCAATATGAATTTACTTGAAGGTAAACCCTTTTTCTGTAGGTACTTGTTAAAACCATGATGCCAAATTTTGTTCATTTTAAAGAGAAGTCGTTACTAGTTATGATTTCACAGTTCTAGCATCAATCATTTATAGTTAGCCTATGAACTTTTCAGCCAACCCACAAGCGTATTGAATAGAAAAAAATAAGTATATTTTTGAAACATATAGTGAAAATTTACTTGGAAAAATATGAAAAAAATAAACGTTATTCAGTAAAATAATCCTCAAGATGCCGACACGAATCTGTTTTCATGCCCAGATCAGGGTTTTGTCGTTAATACTGCCAATTCTATGAGCATTTACAGATATCAAGGAATCCTTATTTTTTTATTTTTTTTTTCGGTGACAGTATTACAGGCATTGCTGTATAGCGTATAGAATTCAAAGCAGCAGATTTAAGAAGCCACATGTTGCGGGTAAATTGATCGTAGTTTAGGTGACAGCGAGATGAGTTCAGTTGGAACGAGCACCGATATTCCATCGATCCAGGGTTTGACCATCATCTTCAACACAACAATCTAGGCGTTGGCATTGACCTAAGGCCCTGAGAGAAAAAAGCTCACAATGACATGAAGTTGGTGTGATTTACTGTGGTTTCTTATGTGGGGCTGGCTTCGAATTCTCTCTTTTTCTACGCCTGTTCCCTTTGTAGATGCTGACAATCTTTGATACCAAAACCGTCCTGTTTTTAGCAGATAATAGAAATTAGCCAACATTAAAATGAAAGAAATCTAAAGGCAGGAAGAGAAAGATGGATCAAAAATAAATGACAATGAATTTGAACCAAATAAAACAGATGTCAAAATGCAATTTATCGATATATCGTGGCAAGTTATCTCGTCGTAGAAGGCGTACTGAACTCGGGGGAAATATTCGCTGACCTATTTTTTGAAACAATTCCATTGATGTCGAAATCTAATTCATCGGGCCGGTGTTAAGGAGTTACCATAAAACAGAATTCTCTGGTACACGTTGTTTTCGGACCCATCCGGTTGCTGATTAGTTGATTAATGTGTTACAAATCTCCAAATAAACAACGAAATCCATAATTCTAATTAGTCGTAATTGTCGAACGGATCTCAGCAAATTTGAAACATGCATTGGGCGCCAGCCATCTCGAAAAACATTAGCTAATCATTTTTTCCGAGGATCACGAATAGAATTTTTCACTAAGATAGATCTTTACCGATAGTGTTACAGGTCCCGTTTTTAGCCAATAGACCAAGAATCCGAATATTGTTTAGGCGTGTTTCTTCACATAAATAACTAATTAATAGTAATGTGAATATCAACTGTTTCCTTATAAGGAAACATTCGATATTCATATCGACTTTCGGTTGAAGTTTATAACAAGACTAATACTAATAAAACTCTTTTTAATTCACACCAAATAGAGAAAACATATTTGTCATTAGATTCTGTTTTGATTGAGATGTTAAATAGTGTCCCGCATGTAATGTGGATGTTCTTTAGTTTTGGACCATGAAATTAAATCATTTTTCATCGGCATTTACGAAGTTTTTAAAAAATCTTATTTTTCGATATTCAGAATTTTTCTCGGACTCAGTGGAATTGATAAACTCAATAAAAAATCGAAGTAAAATGCTCTTGAGATTAAATCTATATATATACATATATATATATATATATATATATATATATATATATATATATATATATATATATATATATATATACTTTTTAAGGTGTGCTATATTTATGTGATAAATACAGCGTGTGTAAATATAATATGTATAGATACATCGTGTGTAAATATAAAACTCAGGCCTGACAATTGCGTCTAGCATGGAACAGACTGTCGCCTCTAAGTGTTGACGTCAATGTTCACTTTATACATATATATATATATATATATATATATAAAGAACAAATAGGAAACATAGTTCCAAAAAACCTAACATGGTTCACTATTATTAAAGCTTAAAGACTGAGGAAAATATATATATATATATATATATATATATATATATATATATATATATATTTCCTTAAACTATATATATATATATATATTTATTTATCTATATATATATATATATATCTTTTCTTAAAACTATATATATATATATAGTTTTAAGGAAAAATATATATATATATATATATATATATATATATATATATATTTTCCCTCAATCTTTAAGCTTTTAATAATAGTGAACCATGTTAGGTTTTTTTGGAACTATGTTTCTATTTGTTCTTTATTTTAACATTCTGTCGGATTCCGATCCATATTTGACCTGAATTTGATCTATAAATCATCAAGGTGGTCACTCCTCCGCAATACTAAGTATGATTGAAAGAAATATTAAATAAATCCTCTCTAAACTCGACCATGTCTCTCAAACCACCCCTCATTACCTCCTCTGTTAAATTACAAAGACTTACACTACCCATCAAAAGTATGAATTTTCATTTCATTTCGTTTTATCTTTTGGAAGTACTCTCTGATGATCCAAAAGGGATCCAAAAGGGCTCTGGTGAAATAAATTATTATAATGCGACCTTAAAATGGTCTGTGTTTTCTTTAAAAATATATATATATATATATATATATATATATATATATATATATATATATATATATATATATATATATATATATATATATATATATATGGAGGGAAAATAGAAGCCTAAACGTTTTTGGTTATAATGTGGATTGTTTCATATATTTTACATTATTTTACATATTTTTTGCTACAAGTGTTTCGTGTCTTGTGACCTTCAGCAGGCGAAGAATGGTTATTTTCACATAATATTTAAAGAAATACATTTTCTTTGGTTTAACCATTTTCTTTTGTGCGTGGAAGGAATCCAAATTCTTCTTGGAATACAAGAAGAATTTGGATTCCTTCCACAGTAATTTCTATTCTACAACAATCCAAACTCCAAAATAATATATTAGAAATTATTTCCAAATCAAGACAGTCAGTTATGTGCCATGCATGATAAACGCTTAGGCGTTCATTTATCTTTTGATACTTGACTGACGAGGTAGATTTTTCCCGCAGTAAGTTGCCATTTCTTTCTGCGGTAGACCAGTTGCTACTCAAAAACCTGTTGCTATCGAAGGATATATAACCCATATCAGTCCTACTATAGCTGGGAAGAAGAAGAGGATTCATACCTTTCCCAAGGATATTAGCATATAAGTGAACGTAAGGGATTCGGCTGGATTTCGAACTCGGCTCGCCCATTTCTCAATCCGAGCCGTTATCCATTACTCCACCGACACGAAATCAAATGCCTACTATACGAGCTACAGCGAACTCATCACGTAAAGACAAAACAGTTACTAAGTAATAAACTAAATATATTTCATTTTATTACAGATACGAAAACTTTGAATCCAAGAAAGTATGTGAAAAATAAATAAGTGTGTATATATATATATATATATATATATATATATATGAAGAAATATAGTTTTAAGGTCTGCTATATTTATGGGATAAAGTGCTCAATATCGGAGATAGTTCGTATGTAAATATAAATATAAAAGTGAAAATTGAAGTCAATATTCAGAGGCGACAGGCTGTTTCATGCTGGACGCAATCGTCAGGTCGCGAATGCTGAATTTTCCCTCGGCTATTTATATATATGGGGCAGTAGTGCATTGTGGGTAATCTATTCTGGCGAAGTGGCTTGTTTGTTTATTTATTTGTTTGGGTTAATTTATTTTACTTGTTTTTCATTTTGTATTAATTATTCTTTTCGTTTTTGATGTTTTATTAACGTAGTAAAAAATGTTGGGGTGGGATTTGCTTAAATCGCTTATTTAATTGTTTGTTTTGGTCTGGGAAGATAATTAAAGTTATTTATCCGTCCAATGTTTAGATTGCTTGCTGTTGTCTATTCTGTTATTTAGGCAGGTGGACAGTTTTTAATTTATTTGGATTGATTAATTTTACTTGTTTTTGTTTAATTCTGCTTATTTTTATCATTATAAATTATACAAAATGAAAATGAAAAACATGTAAAATAAATGTTCAGTGTTGACTTCAATGTTCACTTCTATATAAAGTGCTGTTCAATAAAAGTGACTCACCTGTTTTTTTTTACTAAAAATATTTTTTGTCTATTGTTTTTAGGATTAAAATAATTTTTAATCTTACTAATATAAAGACCCCTTCCCGACCACCTAGGAAAAAAGTTTATTCACCTTAAGGTATTCTATTGATAATTATAAATTTGTATATAAACGAGATTCAGAGAAAAAAGTTTGTGCAAAAAAAGTCACTCAGATATCGCATTCTAATAATTAAACTGGTAAATTTAAAGATCATTTGACAAAATATTGAAAACTATTTTACAATACACTCAGAACAATATTAGAGAACAACTTAAATTAAATCTAGAGTATTCCAGAATATTCCAGAAAGCCTCATACAGCATAAAAACAGTTTGAAATGACCACTCAAGTCACTAATCAGATGAAAGGTTACAAACACACATCAGAACCACTTAAGACATCTCTTATTGCCCTCTCAAAAGCAGGCAAGTCTACGAGAGAAATTGCAGAAATTGCAATAACCTCGCAATCAACTCTCTCTCGAGTGCTTAAGGCATGTAATGATGCCACTCCTGCTCTAAGGAAGGAAACAAGGGGACGAAAGAAAAAGATTGATGATAGAACTGGCAGGGTAATCAAGAGAGAAGTTGCGAAGAATAGGACTATAACTAGCTAAGAAATTGCAGCCAGTCTAAGCGAAGAACAAGGTGTTAATCTTGCCTCTTCAACAATCCGTCAGAACAAGGTTACAAATCTTGTTAGAACAAGGCTACAAATCTTGTACATGAAGGTTTAAGCCGCTAATAAGCAAAGCCAACAAAGCCAAGAGACTTGAATGGGCTCACTATTACAAAAATATCACCGTAGAAATCTGGAAGAATGTTCTTTTCTCCGATGAAACGAAAGTTGAGCTAAATTCAAAGGATAAGGTGAGTCACTTTTATCGAACAGCACTATATATATATATATATATATATATATATATATATATATATATGTGTGTGTGTATATATATATATATACACACAGAGATAGATAATTTATACATAAAACGCGAGCTTGGTTTAAAGGAAATCCGTTTAAACCGCATAAACAGTTATGCATACTTATGTCTCAGTGGGTAAATATTTTTTACGTGCTTCATTTGAATTCTTATTCTCAGCTTACTATTGATTTTCTACCACTATTGACAGTACTCTGTCGATTCCATTGTGTTACGCCTGCAGTGGACGATTCGTTGGCCAAGGTCATCACATCAATTCTTAATCCCTAACCAGTGTTTTCAATTGGAGATCACCAATCAAGTAGATTTTTTTTCTGAAAGACTCCTAACCTCTCTCGGCGATGATAGCGTTTGTTAATGTCCTGAATTAATCAAATATCTTGATCTAACTTAATCTATCTATTACATGTT